ATCTCACAGTTTAAGCCAAAGCAATTTCTAAACTCGCAGGACAGCTAAGGTTCTTATTCCTCTTAGTAATATATATCTTTTTAAATCAGAGGTCTACTTGGAAAAGCTTCACTGCACTGTTTTAGGTCACTAATGGATGTGTTAGGCCAAGGGCTCCCTAGCTGTGGTCTGTGGATTTGTGGCTGAAGATGGGAGATGGCACGACAAATATCCGTATTGATTTCCAATTGTACTTTTATTTCTTCTTCTATTTTTTATATTGTCTTTTGCTGTATTGTAATTTGAATTTTATGGAATTCGAATTGTGATACAATAAAAAATGCAATATATAATAAATAAATGAATATATAAGAAATAAAAGAAGCGATAAAAATACAATGGAAAATTGCACCACATTACAATTGCTACTTCAGGCAAAAAAAATCCTTCGGTGGTTTTCAGGTGGTTCATGGCAAGTTGGGGTTTGGAACCGATGTGAGGCCACGGATAATTATGAAGATACTGAAAACAGTTTTATTGACTCTGTCTGATTTGTGCTGTTGTTAATTTTAACTTGATTAATTAACATGTTAACATGGTTTTTTTATTGTACATTTCTGAGTTGTTGATAAAAATGGTGTCATTCTTTGGTAATTCCAACCAACTAACTCATCCAATGTAGGGATGAGGAATTTGTGGTCTTCCCATTTTTGTTGGATTCCATCTCCCTTAATTTCTGACTGTTGGCCATGCCTGCTGGGACTAGTAGAGTCCAACAACCTCTGAAGGGACACAGGTTCCTCGACTCTGACCTAGAGATTTGACACATATATAGATTAATATGCCTTTCTGCCATCATGGAAAGAACTAATAGCAAGTTAGCAAAATTGTACCATTCAAACGGAGAAAGTATAAGATCAGAGCATTAATACCCTATCTGTTGTGTGTGTTAAGTTTTCCTCTGGGGTGGGCAGGGGGAGTATAAATTATCTACTTGACATGTTGTTACATACGATTATATCCAACATAATGCAGTTATAATGGCAGGCATTTGCACATTGCCCATCTACCAGGTGCAATCATGACAGGCCACACAAATCATCTGGAGAAAATGTGAAAATGGACCACTCTTCTGATTAAGGACTACCACACGTTTATTAATTTAACAGCTTGTCTTCAGCTTTGTCCATCTGCTCATTCAAATGTTTGTTGGCTCTACATTTACTTTAGGAGAACTGTATCCAAACTGATTTATATAATGCCTGGTTTTGAGCAACCATCACCTGGCTGCCAGACCAGACCGGACCAGGGAGCACATTTTCATGTGGCATTATTTTGTTGCTGCTTTTCCGGAAACTAGCAACTACAGTGGTACCTCAGGTTACATATGCTTCAGGTTACAGACTCCGCTAACCCAGAAATAGTACCTCGGGTTAAGAACTTTGCTTCAGGATGAGAACAGAAATCGTGCTCCGGCGGCGCGGCGGCAGTGGGAGGCCCCATTAGCTAAAGTGGTCTTCAGGTTAAGAACAGGTTCAGGTTAAGAACGGACCTCCAGAATGAATCAAGTACGTAACCAGAGGTACCACTGTACCTGTACTACATAAGAAAATTAGAAGTTATACCTGTGATAATCTCAGAAAATAGTATAAAAGGTACATTGATTTATTTAAAGTTAAAATATTCCACAACCACTTCAGTCTTCCCAACCGAAGAGAACAAACAGCACTTCCTTCCTTAAACAAGTGAAAGCATATCTTTCAAAGCGGCGGGTGCAAAACGCTTCCTTGGTGTAACTGTAAAAGCAGAGAATACCACTATTACTATGACTTAATGTGATGCATGAACTAGGCCAATGTTTCAAAATTAAATGAGCCACCAGAAGCTGCCTATAGATATGTATGAAATACAAGCAAAAGTGAAGTATACAAAGGGTGAATTTATCAGTGCAGCAATTTCCTTAAGCAACATAAGGGGAAAAGGAGAGTTAGAGTAGAAAGCATTACAGTTAGAAAAGGAATATATAGAGAGAGAGGTGACAAAGAAAACCTATGTAAACTAGGTGCATATATACATGTATTGGATGATCAATATATACTGATGAAACTGAGGAAGTGCTTTTGTATATTTGTTTGTTTTAAATAATACATTTTTGGAGGGAGGAGTAATAAAGCAGCCTGTTATTACAATATGTCCCATCTACTTACATATAACACTCAAGTTGGCAAATCATTTGAAACAAAGACAATAGATAAGTTATGCCATCTGTCTGGATTGGTAACAGAAACATTACTTCCTTTAATGAGGGCATTTTAAATTAATTTCTTCATTGTTACACCATCGGCTAAGCCAGATCTGTCTTACCAGTTATTTCTTGAATAATACATAAGATGGATCAACATGATCTGAATGAGTTAAGTTCAAGAAAGTAAGTGACTGAGACATGGGGAAATATCTGGGACTGGGTAAGTTTAATAACTGGTTGTTATGAGAGGCTTCAGACTATGGTAGCAACTCGATTCATTCCTTCTGTTTCATAGGTGCAGCTTCATTGATTCATGGTAAAAGGCAAAACAACTGCAATTAGTTATAAAGATGGATTAAGACCCTTAAAACACCTGCTCATTTAGACCAGGTGAGAGGAGGAGGAGAAGAAGAAGAAGAAGAGGAGTTTGGATTTGATATCCCGCCTTTCACTCCCTTTAAGGAGTCTCAAAGCGGCTGACATTCTCCTTTCCCTTCCTCCCCCACAACAAACACTCTGTGAGGTGAGTGGGGCTGAGAGACTTCAGAGAAGTGTGACTACCCCAAGGTCACCCAGCAGCTGCAGGTGGAGGAGTGGAGACGCGAACCCGGTTCCCCAGATTACGAGTCCACTGCTCCTAACCACTACACCACACTGACCTTTGGTCCTCCACATGTTGCCAAACTGCAACTCCCATCACCCCTGGCTGTCAGCCACACTAGCTGGGGCTGATGGCCGTTGTAGTTCAATAACATCTGGAGGGCCAAAGGTTCCCACACAGCTGATACAGACCAAATTCCATTCCAGCCATTGTCACTGCTGGACAACTGCTTATGACCCCTTTTACTTTTCAGGATTGCACCATGACACATACAATGCACAAAAAATCATTGCATATTAAGTTCTGCTGGAGGTCCCTACAGGGGAGGAGTAAGAAGGATCACACACTTCTGCTTGTCCTACCACTTCCCACCCAATAAAACCTGCTCTGGAACAAATGTCAATCACCTGTCCCATACCTTCTGATTGTCTTGACATTCTTGGGTGCCATTGTGTGCTTCAGGGCTAAGGGGCTGCACATACGAGTGTAAAACTGGGGCCTTGGACTCTTCCACTCTGTTTCTTGGTGAATATGGCTGGGTTAATGGATTAGGTCAGCCATGGCCAAACTTGGCCCTCCAGATGTTTTTGGACACCATCCCTAGCTAACAGGACCAGTGGTCAGGGATGATGGGAACTGTAGTCCCAAAACATCGGGGGGGGGGCAAGTTTGGCCATGCCTGGATTAGGTTAATGGATTGGGCAGCTGGAGGGCTTTCAGAAAGTCCCCTCTGGTGGCCAGATAGCTCCAGGCTTTGGTGGCCTTTGGGCAAGCTCACTCCCTTCTTGCTACTGCTGCTTTGCCTATTCACTTGCCCTCTTCTTTTAGACCCAATCTGCAGAGCTACCCAGAGGGAAATGGCAAAGTGGGTGTTGGTTGCTGCTCTTTCTTCCTGCACCTCTCACACATCGAGGAGGCAGAGGAGAAGCAGGGTCCGGGGCTCCAGGAAATGACCATGGTGGCTGTATGGTAGGAAAGGCAGATGAACCCTTCCTGCTTTACATCTTTCATCTCTGACATGGCTGTTGCTGGTGAAGCATGCAAAAGTTGTATTTTGCTTTCGCCCCATAATCCCCCCAGGTAAGACTCAAACAGGTACGGCTTGCTCTCCATCCCAATGCTGTCCCCACTGAGCTAACAAGGTTTGCTCCTTTAAGAACGTGACTGGCTTGAGCCAGTTTCTTCTTAGTGGTGCTTTCTGTGCCATGCCCTGCTTAGTCAAAACAGCCTTCATTTGTTGTCTGTATGTGTGAACGCTTTAAGGGAATTCATGTGTGCACACTATGAATATACTGCCCTATATGAATACACTATATAACAAATTATATAATGGTAAATGAATAAAGGTTAAATACTTCTGTTAAGAATTAGACACTGGAGCCAAGCGATTCTATGCCCAGAAATCCACCAGGGAATCACCCTGGCAGATGTTCTCCTGTGTCTGAGTCTGAGAGTGGAGGGTAAATTCAAAGAAAAACAAATTACATACTAAGCCGTGACAGCAGACATACCTGGGGAAGTTATGCCAGTAGCAATCAATTGGAGACCATGCCCCCGATGACCTCTACCAGCGGCCCACAGACACCGGCAGGCAGTGCACTCATGGCACCTGGAACGTGTCCAGAGGAGGGCAACCAAAATGGTCAAAGGCCTGGAAATGATGCCTTATGAGGAACGGCTAAGGGAGCTGGGCATGTTTAGCCTGGAGAAGAGGAGGTTAAGGGGTGATATGATAGCCATGTTCAAATATAGAAAAGGATGTCACATAGAGGAGGGAGAAAGGTTGTTTTCTGCTGCTCCAGAGAAGCGGACACGGAGCAATGGATCCAAACTACAAGAAAGAAGATTCCACCTAAACATTAGGAAGAACTTCCTGACAGTAAGAGCTGTTCGACAGTGGAATTTGCTGCCAAGGAGTGTGGTGGAGTCTCCTTCTTTGGAGGTCTTTAAGCAGAGGCTTGACAACCATATGTCAGGAGTGCTCTGATGGTGTTTCCTGCTTGGCAGGGGGTTGGACTCGATGGCCCTTGTGGTCTCTTCCAACTCTATGATTCTATGATTCACCCATGCCATACCCCAACAAACACCTTTGCATCACCCCACCCCACGGGGTAATGCAGTTGCACACACAGAATCATAGAATTGGAAGGGACCCTGAGGATCATCTAGTCCAACCGTCCCTTACAGGGATAGAACCTGCAACCTTTGTGTTCTCAGCAACGCACTCACCAACTGAGCTATCCATTACTTATATACCAAGGAGGCAGCTGGTTCAAATACCCTACAGCAGTGGTTCTCAAAGGCTGTGGCATGAGAGAATGGCAAGTGTGGCAGGAAAGTTAGACAGGGCACCTGGAACAAGAAGGGTTAGCAATGTGCTCTAGTTTCCACGTGCACACATTGCAATGTGCTCCCTTTTTGTGCAAAGCACCCCTTCTCCTCTTCTTCTGTTTTATTTTAAGTTGAGCTACACCAGAGACATCACCTTGCCAACAAAGGTCCGTATAGTTAAATCTATGGTAGTGATGTATGGAAGTGAGAGCAGGACCATGAAGAAGGCTGATCACCAAAGAATGGATGCTTTTGAATTATGGTGCTGGACGAGACTCTGCAGAGTCCCATGGACTGCAAGAAGATCAAACCGATCCATTCTGAAGGAAATCAGCCCTGAGTGCTCACTGGAAGGACAGATCCTGAAGCTGAGGCTCCAAGACTTTGGCCACCTCATGAGAAGAGAAGACTCCCTGGAAAAGACCCTGATGTTGGGAAAGATGGAGGCACAAGGAGAAGGGGACGACAGAGGACAAGATGGTGGGACAGTGTTCTCGAAGCTACCAGCATGAGTTTGACCAAACTGCGGGAGGCAGTGGAAGACAGGAGTGCCTGGCGTGCTCTGGTCCAGGGGGTCACGAAGAGTCGGACACGACTTAACGACTAAACAACAACACCAGCATGAATGAGCACGTAGGTTGGGGGGGGGGGGAATCAAGCAAAACCAAAAATCCAGGTACCTCTTGTCAACAGCATCTTGTTATGCTCAAAATCCCAGGGAGGCTCATCTGGTTCTTCAGAGTGACCCTTTTCAGTGCAGAGGGCTCTCCTGTTGAGCAAAGAGCCCTTTCTCCATAGCTGCCCACTATCATCCTGCTGCCCACTATCACCAAGTATTCAGGACCAGAGGCCAGAGATACAGCCCCATGATTATTTATTACATTTGTATACCACCCACATTGACTTCTATGAGAGGAGAATTTCTTATACCAGTCTGGGGCCAGTGTCATTACAGGGTTTAGGCACTACCAGCCCTATATCTGCACCACAACCCATTTTCAGAGACTCCACTGGCAGGACTTGGCTGCTGGAGCTTTTCCTCACTTGGGGGGGGGGGCTTTTGGCAGTGTTCTGGGGAGGGGAGGCAACACCAGCATCGCTTTCATCTTGCTGATGTACCTTCGTCTCCACTGGCCGCATGACACTAACGTTACTTTCTAAAGTCGTGGCAGAAGATTAAGCCCTAAAGGTTGCATGCTAATGCTTTGTAGTGTTTCAGTGCCTTGTGAAATCAAAAGCGAAACAGGAACTAATTGTTACCCATAAACTCAAAGGATATATAGATTTGAACAAATCAAGGCTCTCCTCTTGCCCTGTTTCAGTCCATAAAGGGAAAACATATTTTCTTCCAACTTCTTTATTAGGACACGAATTGATCTGCTGATTGTTTACTAAACAAGGCAAGATTTTGTTAAGCAACTGCTGGAACATATTTTGGCAAGAATAAAGCTCAGAGAAGCAGATGATCCCGTCTGCAAGAAGATATTAGTAGAACTCAGTACTGTATATCCATTAAGAATTGCCAGGAAAGTTCTCCGGGCTTAAGTTCAGAAATGCTTTCTTTCTTTCTTGCAAGTGATGGTGGGGCCAGCAGTTGCAGTGTGTGGGGAAAGTACAGCAGGGTTCACATTTCCATCTCTTAGTTGCGATAGGTAGCAGCCCATGAAGGAGCAAAGCCTGATAGCAGATTGCAAGGGCTACTGTTATGTACTGAAGTTCTCACCCTGGGCCAGCAGGGGGATACTGTAGGTAGTTTTCACTCAGGTCCACATATGCAAATAGGGGATCGAAAGTGACGTTCAGTGATTGAATAGTTACAGAAAGTAGTTACAGTTACGTTGTACTGGAGCTCTATTTAAGCAGGCTGGCTGAACCCTTCAGTTCAGTTCTGTTCTGGCCTGTGAATAAACAAGAGCTGTTTGAAGAATCGCTGTGTCGTCTGAAAATAGGCCAGAATTCCATGACCATCAGCATAACATGAACTTTACAAGTGGTGTTTTTAAGCATTGGCTTACCTCGGGGTTGGCTAGGTTGGTGCCTGCCCAGAGTGCAGGCCCAGAGAACACAAAAACCATGTCTCTCCACTCTGGCTTGGAGTGGCTAAGAGCCTGCCTGCTCATTCACACGCTCTGGGCGGCAAGGTGAGGCGGGTAGGCTCCCCTGGCCTCCTCAGTGAAGGAATCTAGTCGCTGGCGTGGGCAGCTGCAGCAGCCTTGCAGGGTCCCCTCCCCAGTCAGCTGGTGATGCCAGGGGAGTGCCTGGCAAGGTTTTGAGAGAGCCAGGAGAGTCGCAGGAGGAGGAAAAAGGAAAGGAGGAGGAAGAAGGGAAAGCAGCAAGTGCACGGAGGGAGGCAGATAGACAGACCAACAGAGGAAGTGATGGAGGAGGGGAGGCGGAGCACAGCAGACCCCACCCGGATGGCTGCAGAGGAAGTCACTGGTGGAGCAGAAAAAGTGATGAAATGCAAACTTTTTGAGTTTCTGGTCCATGGTCTCTCCCAGCTGAAATAGCTCCTTGCCAAGGGCAAAGGGAACGGAGATACTCCTCTGTTTTTAAGGCATTAATGAAGACCTAGTACAGCGGGTGGCGCTGTGGGTTAAACCACTGAGCCTCTTGGGCTTACCGATCAGAAGGTTGGCGGTTCGAATCCCCGCAACGGGGTGAGCTCCCGTTGCTCGGTCCCTGCTCCTGCCAACCTAGCAATTCGAAAGCACGTCAAAGTGCAAGTAGATAAATAGGTACCATTCCGGCGGGAAGGTAAACGGCGTTTCCATGCGCTGCTCTGGTTTGCCAGAAGTGGCTTAGTCCTGCTGGCCACATGACCCGGAAGCTGTACGCCGGCTCCCTCGGCCAGTAAAGCAAGATGAGCGCCGCAACCCCAGAGTCGGCCATGACTGGACCTAATGGTCAGAGGTCCCTTTACCTTGTACGTACTCACATTGAGGTATTGTTTCAGCTATGCCTCCTCCTCCTCCTTATGGTTTTTTTTTGTTACACAGTAAACAGATAAACAAGGAGCAGTACAACTATTGTCTCCCCATTCAATTCATAGTCTTTTTCACAGTTCTTAATTTACATTTGGTGAGAGACACGTCTGTCGCAGACACTTTCTGTTAAACTGAGTGCACTATAACACACTTTTATGTCTGCAGTCAGATAAGTAGAATTATATAAACCAAAACATGGCACTGATTACAAGGCCGGAACACATGTTACAAAGCATACATCGAAGTTTTCAAAAACAATTATTAAATATTGCTCAGGTGAAGCATATAAGGACAAAAGAGCATCAAAATTATAAAGAGAAAAAGAACTGTGAAGTGGGATGCACCAAAAATGACCAGAGAAAGACAACATCTCAAATTTCATTCCTACTTCACGATAAACAGCAAACAATTAAACATAACCATTGGGATACCTTAAGTGAGTGACTAAGTTTCGCAACTCAAGAAAAAATAATAATAAGCAAATCTTTTCAATCTAGGTAAAGATGTATTCCTGGTCCAAGAGTTGCGATCTTCAACTGTACTTTAATGCTGAAGTAAAATGCAGACAGCAGAGAGCAGTTCCCTCAGTCCTTGATCATGAGAAAATACACAGTAGCAAGAATTTTAAAAACCTGTAAGAACGGCATTCTACATAGGCTTAGGGGACCTTTTATCATAACCAGTTTGGTGCTTTTTGGCACACACTATCTTCCATAAAAGGGACGTGGGTGGCGCTCTGGGTTAAACCACAGAGCCTAGGACTTGCCGATCGGAAGGTCGGCAGTTCGAATCCCCGCTACGGGGTGAGCTCCAGTTGCTCGGTCCCAGCTCCTGCCAACCTAGCAGTTCAAAAGCACACCAGTGCAAGTAGATAAATAGGTACCGCTCCGGCAGGAAGGTAAACGGTGTTTCTGTGCGCTGCTCTGGTTCGCCAGAAGCCGCTTAGTCATTCTGGCCACATGACCCGGAAGCTGTATGCCGGCTCCCTCAGCCAGTAAAGCGAGATGAGCGCCGCAACCCCAGAGTCGGTCACGACTGGACCTAATGGTCAGGGGTCCCTTTACCTATCTTCCATAAGTCTACCCCCCCCCGAAAAGCATGATGTTCAACAAATGATGTTGGACCCAAACTCCTCAACCAGCATGACCAATAGTCAGGAATGATCCCAGTGGCCTAGCATGGGTTGTCAGTACCCAGGGCTGCACAGAGAGGTGGTGGGATGGAGGGAAACGGACAGAGCATGCATGCGCATACAACTGCCTAGCAGTGTCCGCGTCACCCGGGAGACCGCGACTGCAGAGATAAGAAAAGAGTCATTCCACTGTCTGCAGAGGTCACTTCCTGGCTTGCATGCAGAAGGCATTTTCAGTGGAGCCCAGTGGCAGAAACACACAGCTGTATTGAAGCAGCACTGCGTGTTGAAATTTTGCGTCCCTAAATTTTGCTCCAGGGGCAACTGCCCCCGTCCTCTGCCATGCTCCGCCACTGGATGATGGGAGTTGTAGTCCAACAAGAGCTACATTAAAGATGCCAGAGAAGTAAAACAGAATAAAAAGGTAACAGATGGTTTTTCTGATTCTAAAGCACACTCTCTGAGGCCTCACATACTCGATCATAACTCTTTTAATCTCCTGGTAACGCTCAGAATTCAAATAGCAAAAGGGTAGAACTTGCAAGAATTGTCGTTTTGATTACCCAGTTCAGTAGGGCATCATCTACACTGACGTTTAAGAAACAGCAAGGGATGTTCTTGACAGTTACAGTCCCCAAAGATCTTACACATTCCTCCAGACACATCAGCAGCCCTGGGAAATATTATGCTACGTGTTTAAAGAAGAACAAACAAAGTTTCCAAGGCCTACAGAAGGAGATAATTACTTTACAGATTTGGTCAGGATCCTCAAGGATAAGTTGTAGAACATCAG